ACAATATTACTGAAGTACCTATACTAATTATGGGGTCTAACAAAACTCCTAAGTATGTTTTTTTTTTTTTTTTTTTTAAGTCATATGATCTTGAGGACATGAATGTCCGGGAGGTCATATAACATTAAGATGTTAAAAGAAAAAGAATATTAATATCTATATACATTTACTAATCCAACTCGATTTCCACAGGTGATATAAGAACACCATTATCATCCACAAGTCTTCGGTCACACCCAGGGTCAATGCCGGTTTGTAAAGTCATTAACTGCCAGGCTTCACTTTGTCATACCTCATCTTGCATCCAATTTTGCAAGATGAGTAATTTATTTGGGTCATTGGCAATTAAAGGATATCCACAAAAATCTACCCAATATATGGCCTCCCTTAAATTGAGCTCCCGGGCTGCTATATGGTCATTAAGGGTGGGGTGGTCATAGAGGAAGAACTTATTTTCGAAGCGCTGAGTTTTTCCTGCAAAGGCCAACTTTTGGCGCCTTCTAGGAGTTAATTTAGTAAAGAGGAAGATGGGTATATATATAGGCATGTCCATATTTACTGCCTGTTCATCTTTTTCAATACCAATTCCTTCTGCGCTGATATCAATGGCTTGTGGCTCAGAGGTTTCTTCCTGTTCATTTTCTGGCTATTTGATAAATTCATCCATCATTGCATCCTCTTGTTTTACTTGGTCTGCAAGACTCTTATTAACTTTCCACTCTTCGGTCAAGGTTTCTTCCTCCAGGGTGGTTAGACTTGTTGATCCACTGCTTGTTACAACTTCTATTTGGGACTCATCGTCATCTGACATTTCCCATTGTGAAGAAGAAGAATAATTACCATCAAATGATCCTTCATCACCCTCATACTTGGGGTCATTTTCTTTCTCTGAGGCTTCTATAACTTTTTCGGGTGTAAGGGGCCAAGGAACATTTTTTTTGGGCTCCCATTCCATCCGGGTTACATCAGAGAAGCTTTCTTCACCCTGGATGGCCCTTAAATTGTCCAC